ACAGCAACTGATTTTGGTTTAAGGTTTAATAAGCTTACTCGAAGTTGCCTAGCTAGTTAAGAGGCAGAGTTAAGATTTGGGCCCAGGCTTTTAGGCTCAGAGTTCATGCTTTTAACCATCTCACTCACGTTACTAATCTGAGGGCTGGTCTCTTAGGGAGGCTTTGGTCCTAGCCCCTCATAACGGTAGCCGTCATTTGATGAGCACTTAGGCTGGACTATGGTATTATTATAGACAAGGAGCCTGACCCAGAGGAGTTAAGAGATTGGGAAGGAGCAGAGCTGGATTTAGAACCCATGTCAATTAGGGCTTTCAGGGCGACAGTCTATCCACTCCACCCTGTTGGAGCCCTGGGGCCTTGTAGGAGTTATCTGAGCAGTGAAAAGCAAAAACTCAGTAACAGGACATACCTCTTCCACCCCTTCAGTCACGTCTTCCAGTGCTGCTCCCTCCTCCGTCCCCCAGGGCAGGGCTTGTGAACTGTGGGAGCTGGTGGGGGTGGGCAGGGAAACCTGTGAGTCAGCTCCTCCTGCCCAGGTCACAGGGCCTCAGGGGGCAGTTTGCGATTAGCTGCAACCCTGGAAGCTGAGGCCCAGCCCCTACCTTTGTGAGCAGTACAGCCCATCTAACACCCCACTTCCATAAGTTGCAGGGGCCCCACCAGTAACTCCTCCCAACTGGTTCTGGGGCTGAAGCAAGGAGGGGCAGGCAGATCATGGCCCTGAGGTGTTAACTGGCCTCAGTAAAGAGCTCAGGCAAAATCAGATTAAGAGCAAGCTCTCTGGTGGCTCCTAACAAGAATTGCAATAGTTCTTGAGAAATGATGTGGGCTTGAACTGGGGCAAGGGTAGCAAAGGTGAAAGTGAGGGGAGATTCCAGAACTATCTGGAGGTAAAGTTGGTGGGACTTTGTGACTGGACATGAAAGTAAGGAGTCAAGAATTGGATGACCTCTAGGCTTCTGGTTTGGACAACTGGGTGGGTGGTGGTACCATCAGTTAAGATAAAGAATATCAAAGAAGCAGCTAATTTCAGGACAAAGATGAGTTTAATCTTGGACATGCTGATTATGAACAGGCTCGGGGCACCCAGGGGGAGATTCCAGCTGAGAGCCAGCTAGATGAGTCTGGAGCTCCAGGGTTGGGTATGGCCTAGAGATACTGAGTTAACAACATGAAACTCAAGAAGAGAATACACTCTTTCAGGGAAAACACTTAGAATGTAAATTAGATTGAGACGAGGGGGCTCAGAATGGAAGCCTGGGAAATAGTAATATTTAGGAAGAAGTGAAGGGATGGTCAAAAAGGGTAAGGAGAACCAAAGAGGCAAGGTCCCAGAAAGCAAGGGAGAATTTCACGAAGAAGGGAGAAGGATCAACAGTAGCCAATGCTGCACAAGGCAGTGGAGTGCCGAGGGTGAGGTCAGACTACAGAGGGTCAGGGAGTGGAAGGTGGAGGGTATAGAGATTGGGAGGAGTGACTCCCCTGTAGCTAGTGGTTCATGTGGAGTCCATGGAAGGTTCTTTTTAGAGTGGGAGACTTGAACACACTAAACCAAAAAACCCAAACCCATTGCAGTTGATTGCAACTCACGACGACCCTATGTGTTAGAGTAGAACTGCTCCATGGGGTTGGTTTTCTTGGCTGTAACCTTTATGGAAGCAGATTGCCATGCCTTTCTTCCATGGTACAACCATTTGGCGAGCCAGGGACTTGAGTATGCTAATAGACTGGAAATAAGGCAAGGCTGAAGCTGGAGGTCCCAGGGAGTAAGGGATGGGTGGGTTGGCTTTCAACAGGAGGGACATAATATCCCCAAGACCATAGCAAAGAAGGTCAAGATGAGTGTGAATGAAGAAAAATTTGCAGGATGGAGGTCAGAAAGTAGAGAGATCATACCCAATGACCTTGATGTACTTAAGTAGTAGGCAAGGTTTTCTAGGGTAGGAAGAAGGGGAAATACAGGAAGGTTGCCTAGTGGTCTTGTGAGCTGCCAGAAGAGAAAGGATTAATGCTAACGGATTAATGCCAATTCCCTGTGGACACTGGGAACCACAACAAACCTAGAGTGGCCCCACTGAAGCCTGCTGTGTGATCTCTAGCAGTGCTGAGTTGTCCAGGGAGGAGCAGAGAAGTTAAGCTGGGTTATGGATCCACAGTTGGGGCTTTGCTGGCAGAAGATGCGTAAGGATAGATGCAAGGAAACAGAGTACAAGGGAGATCCAGTTGGCCTGAGTAAGGAATGGAGAAGCCGTGAGGAAGGGGGCTGGCCCCTAAATCTATTCTGAGGGAGTGACTTCCCTTTGAGCCACATGGTACCACTTCTGGAAAGGGATGAGTGCTAGCCTCTAACTTTAAAGACCATTTCTAAGGTTCTGGTCCCAGGGCCAAATCCATCCAGTTTTCCCAGGTGGAGCCAACCCATTGCCAAACAGCATGGCTGCTGGGCTTGGTGGAAAACAAGCAAGACGTGAACACATTAAAAATCTGTTCAATTCACACAAGATGGGATGAAGAATGCTGATTCTGAGACAACACTTCTGATCTTTCCCATGATTGGCTGCAGGCATCCTGATTTCTGTGCCAGATGATCTGCAAAGCAGTAAGCTCTTCCTCTGCTGGGGCTCCTGTTCTTTCATCATTCATAGAACATGAGGTACACTCTGGAATAGTTGCCTGAAAGTATGTTTTTGTGTGTGTGTGAAGTTGAAGCATGCTTAGATATTTGGTTACTAAGTGAATCCATATGTAAAGTGAAGTCATTCATAATACATTATATTATTTTCAAATACTGGGCTTTTTTATATCTGGGCTTAGACTCAGCAACAACTGCTTGCTTCAGACCAAATCCCTAAACTACCAAAGGCTGGTTGGATCATTTGTAGGACTTAAGCAAGACTCAGAAACACAGTAGTCAAGTTTTCCCCAGGCAGTGTGGCTTTCGAGGGGAGATGTGGCAATGTCAGACCCCAATTCCTGGACTGGGAATTTCTGAGAAGTGAATATGACCATCTGTCCCTTTGAAAGAGGCTTTCTTCTACCTCTTGAAATGAGCATCTTACCTTGAAAGAATAATATGGCCCACTGTAGCTTCCAAGGAGTCCCTGGGTGTTGCGAATGTTCACCTTGCTTGGCTGCTAACTGGAAGGATTGCGGTTGGGGGTCCACCCAGATGCCCCTGGGAAGAAAGGCCTGGCAATGTGCTTCTGAAAATCAGTCATTGAACATCCTGTCAAGCACAGTTCTACTGTGACACATGTGGGACTGCCATGAGTCAGATCAACTTGATGGTAACTGGCAGCTTCCAGAGTAGTGCTTGGCCCCAGTAGGTCTGTTTGTCAAGCCAATGAGCAGGGAAGAATGTAACCAGTATACTGGTTCCTCTGTCCCAGCCTTGCATTTGTGACACCCCCATTTCCCATGAAACTCAGTAAACTCCAGCCCACGTAAGTACACCTGCTCAGGATCCACACCCAACGTACCCCCCGCGCCCCAGCTGTGTCCCTTATTCTTCCCAATGCTGGCTCTAGTCTCTACTCCTCCTGCGGTCTCCATCTGGATGTCACCCATTGGCTCCAACCTTTGCAAGTCTTTGCAAATTGAAATGCCCCATCTAACACTGTTCTCCTGCCCCCACCCCTCACCCAGAACTCAGCATGGGGCTCCACACAGAGGTTCTCAATACATGTTTATTTAGACAACCCTTGAGGGCAGAAACTTCCATCAGACCAGATAGGCCAAGGCCCCACTAGGTGCCTTGTTTCTGCCTTGCTTCTATGGTAGCTGTTTTCCTGGCTGCCCCCACCTCAGCTCCTCTCATTTTGTGACAGTTATGGGCATGAGGACAGTTATCAGGACTGTTCAGAAGTTCAGGGGAATCTCCCACAAAGACAAAACACAGATCGCAGGGTAACTCCTGAGGGCCAGTTCACTCTGTTCTTCGTGAGAGGCAGCAGTCCCGGCCTGCCAGTCTCTCTTCCCACCAGGTCAGTGTGACCCCGGCGAGCCCTGGGCCTCACCTGGATACTACTATGGGCTCTGCCTCTCTGCCTGGACTTCCAAGCACCATGCTCTCTGTCCCCTGCTGGGACACAGCACTTATCAGGTAACTGTGCAACACTCTTAGTTCCCTAAATCCCCTGAAGTCCAGAAAGCGAGAGAAGTAAGACAATTTAATAATGGCTTCCTGGATTTACAGACAACTAAAACGATGGGCAGACAGACAGACATTTCTCTCCATGCACTGGTACGGTGAAATTCAGGGACAAGTGACGATCCAAGGACAGATGCTACGGTGCTCAGCTTCACTGGTGTCACATGGTCCAACCTTCTGGCTCAGCAACTGCCGGCAGTGGGGGGAGGTGGGGGACTGCCCAGGCCTGCTGAAGTGGGAGGGGACAGGCAGCAGAATGAACAAGAATGCACGGGCACTGCCACGCACTAGGGAAGAATGTCTGGTAGGAGGAAGGTAGGATGCCCTCCAGGGCACAGGAGAACCGACTTTCCCATCAGAGTCATCCCTGAGGGCCAGAACCCTGGGGCTTGGGAGGAAGGTGGTAACAGGAACCTCAGCAGAAAGGACATGCCGAACGCTGGGCCATGCTTTCCTCCCAAACGCCGAGTTCTTGATGACTCAGCTCCATCTTTCAAAAGGTAACCAAATCCCCAAGATCTGGAGCTGGAAGGGTAGCAGGGGTGGAGGAAGGAAAGACTGACACCATCCAATGCTGACCCATCTGAATATCTCTATCCCCTTCTGGCCCCTCAACCCCAAAGGCCTGAGGAGGCACACTACGGATTACAGACCGCATCCCTCTTCCCTAATTTGATCAGCTGCATACACGTTTCTAACCAGAGGGAGGAGAAAGAAAAATGCCGTGGGCGTTTAAGGGGGAGACCCGGGAAAGAGCGGCACTGAGAGAGGGGAGATGCAGCCTCTGGCTCCGTCCAGAGCTAGAAGCTGGTGTCCATGGCTGCTGGTCCTTGCCCCGACTGCGCCAGGCCACCTAGCTGAGCATCTTGTGCCGATCAAAGACTGTCTTCCGCTGCTCCTGCACCTGCAGCTTCCACCGCTGCTGAGCGCCTTCCACGCGTTCCAGGACTGTGTTTGCTCGGGGTCCCCCCAGGGAGGCAGCAGCGGCTGCCATAGAGCGGGCATCCTACAGTGGAAAGAAAAAGAAGGGGTTGGGCACTGGAGCCAGAGGGGTCTTGGGCCTTGAAAACCTGACGTGGAAAGAACGCCCTGTGAGCAAGTCCAAGCATGGCCTCACCCAGGGGGTGGGCTCCTGGAGGACCCAGCCCTTCCACCCTCGGATCCTGACAGTGTGCCTGCTCCTAGCTCTCAAGAGGAATGTTAGGTGTTGGCCTCGAGACCTCACTCAATGCAGAGGCCTCAATGATGTGCGTTGTGTGAGGAAATGTACCAGTGTGCCCCTGTGGCGGTAGCAGGCTGGGGAATGCCCCGGCCCTACCCGCCACTGCCCACGGGATGGCAGGGACACCCACGGGACGGCAGGGACACCCACCGCCCACGGGACGGCAGGGACACCCAGGGGTTAGGGGCCGGCTGCCCGGAGACGGCAACATGCCTGTTCCCATGGGGGGCTGGGGCCTACTGAGGAGTCTGCACAGATGAAAACCCATAGGCTCTGCTCTGACGGGTGGGACACCAAGCTCACCTTCCCTGGGAGACAGGGGGTGTGGCATCAGTCACCGGGGCCTGGCAGAGACTAAAACTTAGAGCTCCAGCATTCCCCTTCCAGAGCCTGCTCTGGCCCACTCCCTCCTTTGACAACTCCAGGTAGCTCAGCTCCTTCCCTATCTGCCTCCCACCGATCCCCAATCTCCCTTCCCCTTTGCTCTCAGAACTGCTTCTGTTGTCAAAAGCAGCATCCTCCCCTAATTACTACTTCTCTGCCTCTGAAGCTCCGGAGCCCATGCATTTCCTGCAGGACCCCAACATGATCTTTGGGGGAATTAGAGCCGAGGGCCAGGCCCACACCCCCATGGGGATTTCCTCCCTGGCTCTCCCTGCCTCTCATCTCCTGCCACACACCTCTTAAGGGATTAGCACACCTCTCTAAGCTCAGAGCCGCCCAGTAAATGCAACTTTGCTTCTAATGCCCTGAGCTGGCACGGCTTCTGTCGCCATGCAGCTGCCAGGCTGGGAGAAGGGGGGTGGCAAGGAGAGGGTAGGGCAGGCCGAGAACGAGCTGGTAGCTACAGAGAGGTGAGCTGGCTAGAAGTGAGGCTGGGGGGTAGCTGATCAGCACTGTCGCAGAGCTCTCGGTCATCTGTCTTGTGAGCACTGCCCAAGGTGAGTTAGAGACGGCCACTGCCCTCTGAGAGCCCTCTGTCCAGAGCCCTGAGGGGGGCTCCCTCTGCCAGACTACATGAGAATCCTGTCAACACCTCAGAGGCAGGTGCGGCAGCCTCAGGCAGGGGGTGCACTGAGCCAGGTCAGGACTCCGGGGTTCTATGCTGGGCCGCTGGGAGCCACGGCCCGTCCCGACCTCAGACTCTTCTGGGCCTACCTCACAGGATGACCCCATACCCTGCACCCACAGGCCCACAGTAGGGAGGAAGCAGGGAGGGCCTGAGCCACTTAGCCGCTGCGTGGCCCTGGTCAATTATTTCTACAAGCTTCAACTTAATCCAGACTTTCAGACTTTTTGGAGTATACTGTCAGTAACCAGTTGCCAATGAGTCGATTCTGACTCAGAGTGACCCTACAGAACAGAAAAGAACTGCCCATAGCATTTCCAAGGCTGCAATCTTCACAGAAGTAGACTGCCACATTTTTCTCCTGAGGAGCGGCCCGGGGGTTCGAATCACTGACTTTTTGGTTAGCAGTCGAGCACTTAACCACTGCACCACCACGGCTCCTTGTACCATCAGTACCCAAAAAACCCACTGCTGCCAAGTCTAATTGCAACTCTTAGTGACCCTATAAGGCAGAGCAGAACTGCCCCATAGGGTTTCTAAGGCCGTAATCTTTCTGGAAGCAGACTGCCGTTATCTTTCTCCTACAGCGCAGCTGAGTGCTTTAACCACTGCACCACCAGGGATCCTTATACTGTCAGGAAAAATCACATTTTAAGTATCAACCTAGTACATTCACACACACAGTAAAAACAAGTCTCACAAAGTACTACCTCGCCTATTTTGGTACAATGCGTTCTGGTATTTTCTGCTCTGCTGTAATTCGTTGTTTAAAAATACTGGTCAGTACTCACTAAACTGGTTTCATAACGGGTGGTGAGCCACAGTTTGAAAAACACTGGTTTAATGATCTGTATGTAACCAGGTATGGCAAGGTAAGATCAAATAATATTTGGAAAGTACTTAGCATACTGGCTGCCAAAAGTAGGAGCTCAAGAAACACCTAGTTTCCTTCTCTCCTGGGGGCAGGTGCGTTTCTTCCTCTTCTTCCCTGAGCCTGTCAGAGGGTGTGGGGCGGCAGAAGGGAACGTCCCTGCGGGGCAAGCCTGGAGCTGGTGCTGTCGCTCCTCCCAGACGCGGGAGTTCTGGGCTGAGGCTGAAGGACAAGGCCTGTGTCCTGGCCCAACAGAGCCAAAGAGTCATCTGCTTCAGCACCTGTTCACCTGTACTGACAGCACCTAGCTCAGGCCCTGCTGCTCCCAGAGGACCCCCAGCTAAACTCTTCCTGCTGCACCTTCTGACCCAGCTCTGGCTCCTTTCAGAGACGCCAACCCTGGCAGGATGAAAAGACTGGTATAAAACCAGGGCCTCTGGCACACTGCTCTCCCCAGAGCAAGGCGGCCTTTCTTCTCACGGCCTGTTTGTTACCAACAACCCGGGCTTGAATCCTGGCTCTCACACCTATCGGCTGTGACCGTGGGCAAGTTACTTCCTTCCCTGAGCCGATTTCCTCACCCACAGGACCAGAAGAGCTGTTTTTTAATGAGACAATGAGCGTAAAGCCTTAGCCAGACCTGACAGATAGCAAGTACCCATTAACACAGCAATTATTACTATCAGACCCCAGCTCTGGGACCTGCTGGGCAGGCGAAGCTTGCTGCTGGGAGAAGCAGCCTTTGAAAAATTACTCCGGCTGTTGCACCATCTTTCAGTTCCATTCCTTCCAACCCTTCGGAGCTAAGGCAACCAAGTGCCCAGGACAAGCATCCACCCAGCTCAGCCTCTGCTTCCCAAGACCCACTTGGGAAGTTGCTGGCCCACTAGGACTTAGCCAGGCTGGTTCTGGGGGCCAGAGGGGCTTCTCTCCTCCCTTCCGGGAAGCGGTGTCCTCATGACAGGGCCTCAGGGAGGGCGGCCTGGTGTGACCCCAGAGGACCGGGCTGGGGACTGTGAGGCAGGCGTGGGGGTGGGAAGCTTCCACCCTGCTTCTCCTTTCCCTGTGCAGCATCTCAGGGAGAGCGTCTTGAGGAGGGGAAGCCAGACGGAAGCCAAGAGCAGAGCATTAAGGGAACATGCTGCAATTCACCGCATTACCGCAGTACCATTTGTTTTCCCTTCATGTAAAGTCTTAACAAACAGCTCCTAAGTGGGGGAAAGCTGCTGCTGAGAGGCTCTGTGTTCCCATCGCTAATAGTCTGATTAGAGGTATTAAAGACTCCACATCTGTTCCAGAGACGGCCCAGAGTGGGGCCTGCTACTTGCCTGCTCTGCAGCAAGGATGGCAGGCGGAGGCAGGAGAAATACCACCATTCCTAACCCTTCTCCTCTGGGGCTGGGGCTCTGGGCAACTCCGGGAAGCGGAATGACAGGGGGCAAGAGCTTGGGTGTCTATGGGTTCCCCGGAGGTCCCCAGTAGGACCAGACTAGCATGACTGACAACTGTCACTATGTACCAGGCACTCTGCGAGGCACTTCACATGGATCAGTCCCCAGGTCACAACACTGGCACATGGGTAACAGTATTCCCATTTTGTAATTGAGGAAACTGAGTCTCCAAATGAGGAATTCTCTCTTTGCCCTAGGTTGCACGGCTGTTAAGTGGCTGAGTCAGGATTTGTGCCAATGTCTGCGTATGTCTTATCCCAGGACTCAGCTGGGTCTTTCTTTGGCTTGTTTCTCCTAAGATGGAGCCAACATGCAAAACCAAAGAAGCAGGCTGGTTCTTTCCCCAAGGTTAGAGCAAGACAAAGCACCTGTGAAGCAGCAGGAGTCAGGAGCTCCAGGCGAGGCGCTCCTGTCCAGGCCTGGGAAAGCCCAGATATTCACGTGCACAAGCCTGAGTGGATAAACTCCCCTGAGCCCCCTCAAACCATCCCTGTAAAGCGTACCCCTGAAGCACTGGGTCTGAATAAGCACTGCACTGAACCTTGACTCAGTCTCTCTAAGGATGAGCAGATGCGGGAGACTCCCCACTTCAGGCAGCTCCCGCTTCCTGGCTGCCCCTTCCCCTGCTCCCCAATCCTGGGACTGGAAGCAGGACCTCACCCCGTCACACAGCTCGGAATGGCCCGAGTGCAAAGCCCTTTAGAAAGGTGACCACTCAGCTTCCCGCAGTTTTCCAAGGGAACACCCTCACACTGAACCCAAACCCTGCCTGCTGTAGCCAGGTCCTACTGCCTCTCAGCTGCAAGGCTCTCCCCGACACCTGCATGTTGCCGCATCATCTTCCCACGGCAGGTCCAATGATGCCATTCCCCTGCCCAAACGCCTTGGCTGGTGACCCAGCTCCTTACAAATAAAATACTCCCTAGCGTGGCCTTTTGAGCTGGCTGGAACATGTACTCCCAGCCCACCTCCTCCTGCCCCCACCCCCCTCCTCCAGCCACACTGGTCCACCTGTCCTTTCTGCACCTGCAGGGACCACCTCACTGCCAGGCCTTGGTTCACGCTGCCCCCTCGGCCTGCCCTCCAACAACGGTAATGCCACTTCTTCGCTAAGGCCTGATTAAAACATCTCATTCTTAAAGACAACAAAGACAGATAAAACTTTCACACACATATTGACAAGTATGTTGAGGTAAAGGAGCCCTGGTGGCACAATGGATAAGCGCTTGGCTGCTAACCAAAAGTCAGTGGTTTGAACCCACCAGCCACACCAGAGAAGAAAAGACCTGGCAGTCTGCTCCCGTAAAGATTACAGCCTAGGAAACTGTATGGAGCAGTCCTACTCTGTCCTATAGGGTCACTAGGACTTGGAAATGACTCAATGGCACATGAGAACAACATGCTGAGGTGGGAACTAGTACATCTGCTTCAGATTTAGAAAACTGAACCAAGAGGTTACACAGGTATCAGGGATAGACGTGCAGCACTGGGACCCCACAGGACTATCTGCTTCCAAAGCCATGCTCTTACTCCCACGATGCACCTGGTGGAAGCTCCAGATGCCCAGAGGACTGTCCTGCCCTCAGGGGAGACAAGGCCATCTGCATGCCCTCATCAGAGTGTGGCCTTTCCAGCTTCCTCTGTCAGTTCCCCAGGGCCGGGGTCCTCAGCACGCAGCGTGGCCCAGCCACCCTCAGAGGGGAGAGGAGACCGTTTTTTGGTGGCCTGAGTCTTCTCCCCAGCCCCCAGCTGCATGCTCCCATCACCATCACCATCACCATCTCTCCTTGATTCCCCTCCACACCCCTCACATGAGGAACCCAGAGGTCCACCCACAGCCGCAGCAGGGTCAGAACTTCGGGGACCCCTTCAGAGCTCAGGGGGCCCGGACTAGGGGTAACAGAGACTTCCAGAGCCTCACAGAAACCCTTATTTCTCTCTCTTCAAAGAAGGCCAAACCTCTACATCTAAAAAAGCCCTGTTTGCCGTTTCTGTCCCGGCAAACATGCTTGCTTCCTCCTTTCAAAGGGCGTCTGAGCCCAGGGATTAGGCCTAATGCCGCTGGAATCCCAGGGGAGGCAGCGCACAGCAATCAGGGGCCACTGAGGCTCTGCCAGCACTTTCAAAGGGAGCATGACAGGCTTTCATCTTCCTCCGCGGACTCTGCGGCTATGGGGAAGGCCGCCCCTTCCTCTTCCAGCCCTGTAGTCCCAGGGCCGGAGAGCTCCTGGCTGCAGGAACGGGGGGGGAAGAAGCCAAGGGGCCCCCAATCCTGGAAAATGATCCTCTTCCAGATCCCACCTCGCATGGGGTCCCAGCCTCCTGGCAGGTGGGGGCTGGAAGCCTGGAGTCTAGAGAACTTTCCTTCAAGACCACAGAGTCAGTCACACAGGCCTAGCAAACCTTCCAAGGACCCCTGAAAGGGCATGTTCCTGACTCTTTTTGGGATGACACTGGATTCCTCCCACCACAGGGGAGGCCTCATCCTCGTTTCTTTGCTAAGGTAAATACTCTCCAGACTATTAACAAATTCCGAGACACAGCAACAAGCCTGGCTCTGTGGCTGCTGGCTGGTGGCCTTGGGACCTCCTCTCCCCACCCTCAGCCCCATACTCCCCACACGCCCCCTTCCCCATCTGCACCCAGAGGGGGTAGGTTAGTAGATTAGCCCTTACCATCCAGGACGGGGGGTATGGGGTCCCTGATTGTAAAGACAAGATCCTTGGGCTCTATTCAGCCCCATGCACTGTCCACCCTCTGCTCACTCATCGCTCTCCCACCCATCCTGAGCAGGCTCTGAACATCCTCCTCGACCAGGAAGTCTTCCTTCTCAGACTAATCCAAAGGGAAGGGCAACTGCCCCCAAACCTTTTCTGTTAAAGAGGAGCCTCCCAAAGCACTCAGCCTCTCACCTGACTGCCTCCCTCGTAAAACCTGGTCTTACTAGTCCCTGCTCATTTCCCAGGTCTTGTCTCCGTTTAGGGGCTTAAAAATCTGAGAGCAGAGATACCAAAACCCGCCATCGAGTCGATTTTGACTCATAGTGACCCTATACGGCCCGTGTAAATCTCAACACAGCACCCCCTCCCGCAGGACTTCTGCATACAGCTGGGGGAGGAGCCGCGTGGACAGGGGAGAAACCAAGCAGCTGCACCAGGAGCAAGCTGATTTAGGAGCACCTAAGCCAGGGACCCAGACAGTCACACTGGGTGAGAGGATGCAGGGGGGATGCCAAATAATGGGACCAGCGGGCCATCTCAGTTAAGGGGCCAGGCAGGCTGCATCATACCCTGGAAGCAGTTACTTCACCGCCCTAAGGACACCCACTGACATCCACCCTACCCCACCCCAGCATTTCTGTCTGAGCAGCCAGAGCTGGCTGCAGGGTATGGAACACATTGAATACAACTTTGTATTACTTTCTAGAACCTGGGGCCCAGGTGGTGCTATCCACCCCACCTCCCTCCTCCCGGGGCAGGAATCTCCTCTCCAGCATGTAGCCTGAAAATCTGCACCCAGGAAATGTCTAGCCTCTGATGCAGGTTCTGACCCCTGGAGCCGATGGACCAAATCGAATCCCTCCTCCCCAGGCCACCTTCACACAGACAGGCAGCCACGTCTTAAGAGGAAAGGGGGGACCCCCAGGCCTCCTGGGGGGAAGAGGCCTGGGCTCCGAGCCAAAGACGGCACGCTGCCCTCTCCCCTCTGGCTCTGTCGCTAGGACGGCAGGAGACACAAGGCCATGCCCGAGAGCCATGCATTCCAGGGAAATGGCACGGGGCTGTGTAATCACCACACTGCATCTCTCAATTACTCCTCCAGCCAGGCCTGCAATTACCACCTTACCCCTAATCGCTGAGTGTTTATTAGTGATGCTCCTCCCCTATCAGAGCTGCTATTACTGTACATTAATAACCGGGTAGGTACTCAAGGTTTCCTCTTGAACACAGACCACCCAACTGCCAGCGCCACCACCTCCCAGGCCCCAGCCCCAGTGGGGCGAGGCTCATCCTCTCTGCTCTACCTTTGGCCAAAATCATGTCAGCAGGAGGCTGGGGGCAGCCCGGGAAAGGTCCAGGCATGCATCTGGGCAAAGCAAAGGGCCTGGGGGGAGCGGCCAGGCCCCCTCCGTGACCTGTCCTCATCCTCCTGCTTGTGCTGGCCCAGACCCACATCGCTCGGGCAGCTTCACACCTCTTTCCAGGGCTTGAAAATGCTCTAAACTCTGACTGCCAAATGGCAGTTTAGTCTATACCTGCTTACCTCCAGCGACACAGAACTCACTACCTGACAAGGGAGCCCACCCACTCCATTGTTAGACTGCTTTGTCTGCAAAAAAGCTCCTTCTTACGCTGTGTTAAATCTCCCTCTGAACTCCTAACTTTGGGTCCTTCCATCCCCAGCTTTACCCAGAGTGGGGCTAAGCCCTCTCCTACAATATCAGAAGGCAGCTAGGACGCAGCTCCTTGACTTTTTTTCCTTCAAGCTAAACATTCCCCAGTTCCTTCCACTCACTCTCTCAGGCCATGGCTGAGACCCTTCCCCACTCAATGCTCATCTGCATATGCATCAGCCCGCTTACTCCATCACTAAGTACTTAGGAGTGTCTTACCAGCAGCGAGGCTCCAGCCACAGAGCTAACAGATGCACTCCCTGCCTGGCCTCAGCAACCACTGTCTTTGAGGCAGCCTCCCCCGTTGGCAGCCTCTCCTGGTTATCAGTGTCTCATCTGCAGAGCTGGCTGCTGTGTGTGTCCAGGGAGAGCTAGAGGCACACAGAGTTGTGACGCCATCCCTCCAACAAGGGCATTCCCCTAGATCACCTGGGGAAGCGTGCCACCTCGGTACAATGCTGCCTGAGCTCAGGCAGCACTTCTTGCTCCCACGCAGAGTTGTTCCCCTTGAGTCCTCCTCTGTCCCATCCTGGGCTATCCCTCCAGGGCATCCGGACACTTTAGTCCAGGCATAGATGGGAAGAGGGTGAGAGCAACTGTTAACTGTGCTGGGCCTGGGTCCAAGCCCCTCCAGCTCCTCATGACCACACGAGCCTGACAAACTCCACAGGCTGTTGGCATCCGTGGTTCCCCATCTTCCCTATCAAACAAAGCTGGAACGCCTTATTTGAGGCCTTTAACAATGTGGCTGAAGCCTACTGGCCAGCTCTGCGTAGCACTATTCCTACATGCCACCCTCTCCTTGAACTGCTCAACATTCCTCCAGCACAACACACAGTGACCTCCCACCCTGGGACCTCTACCTGCCCTCCTCCTTTCTGGCTCATGATATCCTACCTCTCCCTCATGGCCCAGGGGCTGTGCTCTGACTGAGCAGGCACTCAGCAGCTGTTTGTGAAATCACTGAACATAAGAATACAGCTGCCACCTCTGGGCCCGGCACCACCCTGTCACCATGACTGAGCACCCAGGATGCTTCATGTCTGCGTGTGGCTGGGCCCTGCTGGTGCTCTTTCCCTCTGCTTAGAGATGCAGCAGACAGGAAGACGTGGCTCCCCATGCTTGTGCACTGAGGCTGCCTGACACCAAGCAGGAAAAATTCAGGGCCATCTCCCGTTTCACCAGCAAGCGCAAAGGGCCGTTCCCTACAGAGGAGAGAGCCAAGTCTGGGGGCCGTGGAGGACACTGAACAGGAAAAGAGCAAACCTGGGCACAGGGGGAGAGAGTGAGGTGGGGCACTGATCCCCGCTCTCCCCAGTGGTGCCATCCTGGGTTCTGCTCCAGGGACTCGCATGCCCAGGACCCTGTCTGTGGGCAGAGGTGTCGGCAGGGCCCCAGCACCCGGAGCCTGCTCACCTCATTCTCCTCCTCGTTGTGCAGCTGTTCAGTGTACGCATCCGGCTTTCGAATCAGAGGGTCCACCAGCATCAGGAAGGCCATGTAGAGCAAGAGGGCGCCCACCACCGACAGGTAGATGACGATGATCACCTGAGGACGAGAGCAGCCTGTCCTGGGAACCAGCCGTGGCAAATCCATCTCCACTCTTGTGCCATCGCTGCTCAGCTGGAGGCGGGTGCCCCAAGCGCTGCAGTGAGGGAGGACGTGGGACTACTAGGGCTTGGCAGGAAAGAGGGACAGGAACGATTCCAGGCAAGGGAAAGGGATGGGCCGATCAGACTGGCTAGCTTTGTCCTAAACTGAGGGAATCCTGCAAGAACAATTAGCTCGATGGCAGGCATAAACACAGCAGATGATAAAGAAGAAGTATGGATCCTGACACCCCAAGAGGGTGCCAGACTGCCCAGCTTGGGTGGGACAAGCAGGGCCTAGCTGACTAGACAAGAGTCTACAATGAAGATGGAAAGGAACCAGGTACTGAGTAAGAACAAGGAAGAACCAACAAGCAGAGAGGCCTGGAGGCAGAGGCTGAGAGCAGGTAACCTGGGCTCACTCATTGCCGAGTGAGGAGGGATGAGGCGGTGGCCCCCACTGTGGCAGGGCATGCTGGCCTGGGCACCATAGAGGGGACAGACAGCACGAAGGTCTGGACGAATGGACGGGCCAACTCAAAAACACAGACAACCCTCTGCGATCAGTCATCCTGAAGGGAGGCAAAAGCCAGCAGTAGATCAACATCACCACCCATCTCTTACAAACATGGAGAGCCTCACAAGGCGGATGAGTCTTTGTTTTACAGAAAAGACAGATTCGATGAGGTTAATTTAGTGTTTCCCAATGCAGGTGCTCTCGGCGTGTAAAGCAAAACCCTCTAAGACCTTTAGCATCCACAGTCCCCGTAATGGTGCCAGTCACACACTCTAGTTATTAAAATGACAAAAGCACTCTCATTTATCTCTAAAATGCCCCGCTGAGGGGAGGGCAGGGAGCAGTGTGTGCCTGATTGAGAACCTTGAGGCTAAGTAATTCACCCAAGATCCAAGGCCAGTAAATGGTAGAGATGTAACATGAAGCCAGATTTGCTGACTCCATCTCAAATGTTTTTTCTACTTCCACAATGCCTGGCTATCACTGCCTTCTGATCCCAGGCTTGGCCCTAGATGGATGGTGAAGAGCAGTGAACAGACAAGGGACCTCGGGACTTTTGTGCGCCCAGCTCAGTCAACAGCCAAATTCTACTGCACCAACTTCCTGCCTGATTGGGGCATTCGTGTTTACACCTCTTAAACAGGGTGAATAACCCAGGCCTTTGGCCTGCACCCCAGGAACGGGGAAGGAGGCTGGGTCTTTAGGCCGAAGTTTCCAGGGGGAGGGAGTCCTCCTAGGTAGAAGGACTGGAGGGAAATTTGGGGGCTTAGGGAGCTGTGTCTGACAAGGTCCCCATACTGGGAAGTCCCTTCTCTGCTAACCATGGAGAGGCGATACCTGGCTCAGAATTGAAGGTCTCAGGCATCTGGTCCCCAGTGGGTGGAGCCCGCTGGAGCAAGTTCAGAGGAGAGAGATGGCTTACAAAGGGGCTGACTCGGCTGGGAGGATGAAAGGGGTTCGTTCAGTCTGCACAGCTCGACAGGGTGATGACTAAGGGAGGTGGGGGGCAGGCAGCTGTTTTCTCTGAAAGGTAAGAACACAGAGAAGCTGTGGGGCAGGGAAGAAATTGTTGGCTCCCCGGTCCAGACGGCGGGGAAAGCAGAGAAGATGATCTTCTCTCCAAGTGAGTCTCAAAAGGAGAAACCTGCTGGAGGACTGTGTGTCTTTAAATTGATGAGAACTATTTTCTGATACTATTTCTGGACTCTTCTTCTAGACTCTTCTGAGGAAAAGCAGAACTAAGCTTAAAAACTGGAACATGAAAGGCTTACGTTAGGTATCAGTAAGCAATGCCTGACTCAGGATGGTTTCAACCTGGATTAGGATATCTGAGGGGGAACTAGTCTCCGCTGGAGTGGCTTGATGGCCCTTGACAAGATGGGGTCAAGTCCTGCCTGGTGGCCGAGGAATGGACAAGGACCTGTGGCATCCTTGCTCATCCCCTACTGGTGGTGGGCCATGCCTGTCACTTCTCTCTTGAATTCAAACAAATGATCTACAAGAACAAGGTTCAAGGGACAAACAAAAGGAAGCATTCTGATGCCCTCATGCCCAGGCCCCGGCACCAGGCACCTGCCCTAGTCCACAGGTCTCTGAAGCCTTTCCAGAGTTCAACGTCACTTCAGAAGCATAGACTGTGAGTTGTAGGAGGGCAGGCACTGTGTCTGTCTTGCTCACGTCTCCACTCCCCAGCATCGTGCACAGCGCCCAGAACATACTACCCAAAAGATATTTGCTGAATGAACGGAAGAAGAGAGAGGAAGGGAAAAAACTGGAAAGAAATGGGAGGAAGAAAGGGAGTCTCAGCCATCTCTCCCGGGGCTCTCGTCTCTCCCTGAAATAAGAGCCACTGGAAAGATGTCAGAGAAGACAGGTGGGTCCAAGAAAGTGGGAAGAGGGTCCCTGTGCCAGCCGCTAAGCCAACCTAGAAGCCAGCCCCATAGCCACCCAGAATGCTCCAGAATAAAGCAAAGGACTGTGGGTGCAGACTCTCCAGGGACCAGGGAGGACAGAGGCTGTGATGGGGGCGGGCGGGGAGCATTACCTTGATGGTGGTGGTGCTGCGCTCCTCATACTTGCACTCGCACAGCAGGCAGTAGGCCTCCGCATCGTGGCCAGGCACCGGCATGGGATCCACCACGTGCAGGCAGTTGCTGCAACAAGAGACAGACAGGGCCATGGGGACCATCAGAAGGTCTTAAAACCTCAAGGCCAGGGAAGCTAGAGGCCTGGGGAGGTGAGAGGTAGGGCTGGGCATAGGTGAAGGGTACTCCCTGAGAGGGCCTCAGCTGGCAGGACCCCCTTCCTCAACCCACAGCTTCACAGCCCTGGCCCTCTGCCCATCAGAACCAACTCTCCAAACCGTACCCATGATGCTGGTACCACAGATGTCAACACTCCCCACAGCTCTGCCCTCTGCCTTCTTGGCTGACGCTCTGCTTTCCCTGGGTGGGCTCATCTATTCCAAAGGTTTCAGCTCAAAAGCTGATGAGTCTTAGAATCTCCAGTCAGGATCGCTCTCCTCCACTGTCATGTGCAACCACCTACTGGATTCACCATCTGAGTGTCCCGCAGGGACCACAAACTCTCCACACTCCGAACTCATCAACTCTCCACACCCTCCCCTCCACACCCTTTGCCCCAACTCCCCAGCCCTGCAAACTAGGTCCTTGGTCTGTGTTCCCAATCACAGAGAACCTGTCCACCATCCACTCTGCTGACCAAGTCCAGAACCTGGAAATCATCTCCGACACTGCCTTTTCGTTTACAAATCCACCAAATGCCATTGATTTTATCTCCTTAAAAATGTCTAAAATTCCATTCTACCTTGGTGAGTAGTGCCTGGGGTCTTAAAAGCCTATAAGCAGCCATCTAAGATACTCCACTGGTCTCATCCCTTCGGGAGCAAGGGAGAATGAAGAGAACAGGATACAAGGAAAAGATTAGTCCGAAGGACTAATTGTCCACAGCTACCAAGGCCTCCACCGGACTGAGTCCAGTACAGCCAGATGGTGCCTGGCTACCACCACTGACTGCTCTGACCAGGATCACAACAGAGGGTTCTGGACAGAGCTGGAGAAGGATGTAGAGCATAATTCTAACTCACACACACAAAAAAGACCAGATTTACCGGCCTAAAGGAGACTGGAGAAACCTCGAGAGTATGGCCCCCAGACACCCTTTTAGCTCAGTGGTGAAGTTACCTCCGAGGTTCACTGTTCAGCCTGGGAGTGGACAGCCCTGTAAAACCAAATGAGACTAACGAGGTACAGGAGTCCAGTGACGAGGGCCAGAAGGCAGAAGGGGGTAAGGAAGCTGGTGATAGGGAACACAAGGTTGAGTAAGGATATTGTTGATGTGTTGTGAGATTGTTAACCATTGTCATAGGGCAACATCTGTAGTAACTGTTAAATGAGAAACTATTTGTTCTGTAAGCCTTCATCTTAAGTGAGAATAACAGCACAACTGGAAGAGCGTAGTCAATGTCACTGAACTGTGTATGTAGAAATTTTTGAAACGGTGTATCTTTGGCTATGTGTATTTTCACCAAAAAAAAAAAAAAGGTTGAGAAGTTAGAGGGTTAATATGTTGTGGGGTTGTTAACCAATGTCATAAAACAACATGTGTACTACTGTTTCATGAGAAACTATTTGTTCTGTAAGCCTTCACCTGAAGTACAATAAAATAAAATAAAATTAAAAAAATGTCTAAAATTCACCTTCATTGTTTTCTCTCTCCCACTGCTGTGTCTTAGCTGAGGCCTTCTTCATTTTTCCCTTGGACAACTGACCCAGCCTCCCCACTGCTCGCCCCACCTCTAGTATGGCCCTGATCCAACACTACCTTCACACTGCAGCCAAGTCATCTTACTGAAAAGAAACTCTGATTGTGTCAACACCTCCACAGTCTCCAGGGGAAGGGCTCAACAGTACAGCCAGGCACACGATCCTGCTCACTCCAGCCCTGCCTACCTCCAGCTTCATCTCCTGCCACTGCTCACCCACTCCCCACCCTCCAGCTATGTTCCCTGAGCCATGCTCTGCCTTGACACATCCCACACCCTCTGCCAGGAACGTGTGGCTTTGTCGGCCACCCATTCACCCCTCTGCATCCTGCTCGGCCCTCAAGATTCAGTTCCAAGTCTCACCTCCCCTCTCAACAGCCAGCCCCTATGCTCATCTCTATCACACTGTACTGTAACCACATCTTTCTTTATTCTGCCTCCCCAGTAAATGCTGACTTCCTTGAGACCAGGGGCTGCGTCTCAGTCACGTCCACATCCCAGTGCCTGGCGGTGCCTGCCAGAGCAGGACTCAGCAAGTGGCTGTCGAATGAATTACATGCTCTACTCTAAGCCCACTTTTACCTAACAGCGCTCCTGAGTAGGATAGGCTAAAGATCATTTAAAAATGGGGAAACTGAGGCTCAGGAAAGCAAAGTGGCATTTCCACAGCAGTGGGAGCCAGGACCCAAATCCAGATCCTTGGCCTCAATGTCTTCACATCTGACTCGCAGCCTCACTGAGGCTGTGCTCAGCTCTTAACTCAGGCCTTTCATTCCCAGTCTCCTCAGAGCAGCGTGTTTCCAGCTTGTCTGGTTTATGGACTATATGAAGTAAGCAAAGACCCTAGAGAATGCACTTCTATCTTTACCATCGGGACAAAATCAAACAAAATCCCTTGGTGGTTCACAAAGGTGGCCAGCATCAGTGAGACGGACAGCCAGGCCTGGCCCTGCCCGGCTCTGCCACTACGTGTCTGGTGTCCATCTGTGAGATGCAGGAGTTGGGCCAGATGACTTTTAAGGCCCGTACAGTTCTGACAAAGCCAAGCACAGCTCTCTGGGGTCTCTCTCAGACTGCCCCAGAAAACAACCAGACCTGTCCTTCTGAGTCTCCCAGGGTCCTCCTAGACTCGGGCTCATCTTTGGCATCAAGGGTGTGCAGTGTGAACATCAAGTGTTGGAATAAATTTGGGATGGCCCATAGGGTTGTCAATGGTTGATTTTTCAGAAGTAGATTGCCAGGCCTTTCCTCCAAGGCATCTCTGGGTGGACTCAAACCTCCAACCTTTTGCTCAGCAGCTGAGTGCATTAACCCTTTGCACCACCCAGAGACTCCAGAATGTGGCATACATGAGTTTATCTAAATCTCTGACAATCCCCGTTCCACCTGTGGTGTTGTGAGAGGGTGTTCCCCTAAAGTCACTAAATGCACCCCTTTCAGACCTCACACACTGCCTCCTTCTGGAGGAACTGATGGACAAGGCCAGGTTCGTATGTGGTCTTTGGTCATCATCCCTGCCCAAAGGGAACGTTACCTTCCCTTCTCTAGCAAGTCTTCACAAGTTTCCTGGGGACCAGATTCCTCCCTTTCCTGAGGCACATGGGGTCCTGGGTTTAGAAGGTCACTCCAGTGCTGCAGTGGGATCTGCAGACTTCTCACAAGGCTGGGGTGGGGTGTCAGGGGGCAGCTGGGAGGGGCCTAATTCCAGGGTTCTTCAAACTGGGACCCCGTTACTCAGGGGAATAGGCTGAGCAGTAGAGACTACAGCAAAAATAGAACTGCAACGTTTCTGCTGTCTCGGGCACCCTTGGGAATCAGGCAGCCCTAAACAAGTTCATGCCCTCCTAAGCGTCTCCTTTTGGGGATCAGTGATACCAACAGACTCCACGGACTGGTCAGGAGACGTTAAGCGGAGAAGGCTAAGGAGAGAGACAAGCTAGGTTTAATTCCCTGCTCTTCTACTTCCTCTATGATTGCAGGTAAGTTATTTAACCTCTCTGGGGCTCAGTTTCCTCATTTATAAATGGAGGCAAAACTAGATGGGTGTCTTTCAAACTATGCTCTTTTGGGTACCCCAGGAACTACTGTGCAGGAGGGCGGAGGTGGTGAGGGAGGAGTCGAGGGGGCGCATCTCTCTTCAGCCACAGCAACTCTAATGCTGTTTTTCACATTCTATCTCTGAAAACGATTTTGTTTATAGAAAGGACCTATTTTTAAAAGTTTGAAAGCCACTAAACTAGCCAACATTTTAAATTCCTCCCTGTCCTGGAATTCTCTGTCTAACACAACCACTTGCCAGACCCACCAATGGGGCAAAATTGTTGGAGTTTCTGCCCTTTACAGGCATGCGGTTATAAGCTTCCAACACTAGGTGGAAGAATACCAGCAACACAGAAACATAAATAAATAGCTTGGCCATTCAATCTGAAGACTGCAGCCTGGACTGTTCTGGCTTAACTTTGCACAGCCAAGGGGAAGGGGGCAAGTGTTCTCTCAGCAGTGGACCAACAGACACCACAGTGAAACTGTAGCAGAGATGTGAAGACACAACCAAGCTGCTCTCCTCTGGCCCTGGCACCAAGGAGCCAAGAGCACACGTCAAGGCCTCATCCCCACTCCTAATGGGTCCCACCCCTACGAGGCTCCAGGCGAGCACATGACAACTCCTAGACAAGGCCAGTGTCGCTAGATCCTAGAATCCTCGTCTTACCTCCCAGCCTCAGTTTCCACCTACCACCGTTCTTAATGGAACTGTCTTGAGGTTCTTGATCTAAGACTGTTCATCGTGAAGTCTCCTAAGTCTGACCCTAACAGGAAGAAAGAGATAAAGCACAGCCTGAGAGATCCAGGCAGGACTCCTTCCTCTATGGCCATCCAAACTCAGGTTTTCAGGCACAGAATAATCCCACAACAAAGGTAAACCAGTTGACATCAAGTCAGCTCCAAATCATGGCAAGCCCGTTTGTGTCAGAGTAGAACTAACTCCACAAGGTTTTCAACGGCTGATTTTCTGGAATTAGATTGCCAAACTTTTCTTCCAAGGTGCCTCTGGGTGGACTTAAATCTCTTTTGTTTAGCAGCCAAGCCGGCTAACAGTCTGCAACACCCAGAAGAGAGATCCAAAAACCAAACCCACTGCTGTCGAGTCAGTTTTGACTCAGAATGACCCTCAAGAACAGAGTAGAACTGTCCCATAGGGTTTCCGAGGATGTAATCTTTACAGAAGCAGACTGCCACATCTTTCTCCTGCCAAGCAGCTGGTGGATTTGAACTGCTGACCTTTTGGTTAGCAGCCAAGTGCTTTAACCACTGTGCCATGAGGATGCCTAGGAGAGAGACAGTACAACGAAAATCCACTGGTGCCCACCCAAGAAACATGGGATGTAGCCTTGTTATCTGGTGTGGGGCTAAGACAATCCATTAATTTACTTGCTGATGCTATCTGAACCATAACCACAAGATGCAAGGGGGTCAGAGGGGCTGCTCCCAGAATGTCATGTCTTTAAGCCTTTGTGAATCCTGTCGGGATGGACAGAGCAGAGCAAACAGTACAAGGTTTCCAGGCTGCGGTACAAGTCTGACAATGACTATGTGGGCTCTGGTAAGACATGATACTACTACTACCAGCTAACATTTAAACAGCACTTACCATGTACCAGGTATTGCACGAAGCGCTACAGCTAACTTGCCATACAGAAACAAGTGGCAAAGCTAGATATGAAGCCCGGCAGGCTGGACCCAGAATCTGTGCACCTAACCAGACTGCTTCTCAGAAAGTCACACTCACACCATCTCCAGTGAGAGATCCAGCTGGCTTCATAGTTCCCAAATGCTGCTCTGGACTGATGGCACCATAATCATCTAAGGAACTCAAGAAAAGGTTACTGCCCCTCATCCCACATTTACTGAGTCTCGACTTCAGTGCGGGGGCAGGAGGTGCTGGGAACTTGAATTTCCCCAAAGATCACCTGATGATCCTAATTTACATCCAAGTATAGGAAACACTGGCCCAGACCTCGATCTGATGCTAATCTCTTCTACTGTGACCTGATCAAGGAGTCATCCCATCTATGCTCAGATCCCTCCAAGGAGGGTCCCAAACAGCCTGGATTACAAATCCTCCCTCCACTCACATTTAAATTTGCCTGAAGCTTTCATCCACTGACCCCAAATCTATACCAGTAAACCACAATCAACATAATCGAGTCCTACAAGATCCTCTACTCCCCTTCATCCCATCCCCCACGGCATGCCTGCCCTCCTCACGGTCTTGCCATCCTGTGTCCCCAAGCCCTGCAGGCTTTTTCTAGTTTCTTAAACAATTCCTCTAGGACAACATGTTGAAACTGCCCCCTCCCAAGCCTGGCCTCCCTTCTCTGAGTGAATTCTTAGTTATTTCTCCCTGTTTTAAAGTAAGGCTAAGACTTCAGTAGTATAATTTAAATTCTCTCTCTGGGATTCAGTCTCTGCAATCATAAAATGGGACCAATACCCATCCCATTTACCTTCCAAGGGTGTTGAGAGACTGGCATAAAATAACACATGAAATAGGGCTTTGAAAAAGTCCATGGCCATAATACTTACCTCACCCAACTTCTCTATTACCATTTTGCACACATCGGTAAAGACCCAAATTCAAAGCAAAACAGTAAAATCCACTCTTCTGAACAGGAACCCCTTAGCTGGAATTCAAGACATCTGGGCCCTGTTTCCAATTGGCTGTGTATCTATGGACAAAATATTCCTTCCTCAGGCTCTCTATGGAAATGGGAAAGCAAGCTTATCCTCCAGGGCTTCCAAGGACACTAGTAAACACTCATAACCAGAACTAGGTGGAGCACTCAAGGGGCAGCCCACACAATGTCTTACCAGTCCTTCTGTGTCACATTCTGATTGTAAATGTTCCCACTGATGTTCCTATATGGTGGACAGATGCATTTGCACCGAATATCTTCAGAACTCTGGAAGAGAAAATACAGACCAGGTAGGCAGGGCCCCAGGGTTCAGTTCTAACAAGGCTCTCCCAACTTTTAGCTCCCCATTCTGTATGTATGCTTTTGATCTTTCTCCATCCCCAATGACCTCTGTAGGAAAGATGTTACATCACAGGGCCCTCAAGACAGAAACAGTCCAAGTGGCAAATGAGACTCACACAAAGCTGTCCAGAACAGCCATTCCCTAAGTGGGGTGCCTGAGACCCTATATCCTGGGTCCCGCACCTGTGTGTGCACCTCTGCCCACCACCCCCATTCCCTCTCCAACTTCCTAGGTTAGGATTAGGGGAAGGAAAGGGCCAGGGGTTAGTAAGGAAATGTGGGTGTTTCTGTGGGACTAGTCAAGTAACCTCATTGAAAGTTCTTTCCCTCTGGAATGGCTCAGAGACAGCACCAAATTATCATCATTCCAATCGAGAATTCCCTAAAGGGAATGCAGACAAACCCTCAGGCTCAACCTTACTTCAAAGCCTTCAAATCTCAAATTCCATGGACCCACCCAGACCCAGCTCTAAGTCTCCTACCCTTAAAGAATGGAAGTTAACTCAGGAGTCCCAGTGTGTAGCAGGTCCCCTTTTGTAACAGAAACTCCCATCTGTATAGGGCTTTACACTTATAAAGCATTTTTACATTACTATGTAAACTGATTCTTCCTTAGCACAAATTACATTGCTGTTAGTTGCTACTGAGTCAATTCCGACTCCTGGTGACCCCACGTGCGCAGAGTAGAACTACTCCAAAGGTGTGATCTTTAGGAAGCAGATCTCCAGGCCTGTCTTCTGAGGCACCTCTGGGTGGGTTCCAACCGCCAGCTAACCTTTCCTAGTAGTTGAGCGCTTAACTGTTTGTCGCCACCCAGAGACTCCCATAGATACTATAACCACGCCCATTTTACACAGGAGCAAAGGAAGGTAGGGAGAACAACTTCCCCAACACGAATTTCCCCGCTGGAATTCTACCTCGGGTCTGTCTGATCCAGCACCCGGGCTCTGTGCACCATCCCGGCTGCAGATCTCTCCCCACGCCACCCGCACTGGCTCTACCCTTAGGGAGGCCTGCAGCCCTGCGTCTGAGGGAACACTTCCTCAAAACCATGGCCGACAGGTAAGTGAGGGGCAGGGCCTGAGCAGCAGCTACCTCTGCGGAAGCCCTGTACACAGGACGGTCGTGCACAGGGTGCTCACCTTGCTGGCTTGAGCTGGGAGTACCAGCAAACACCCGGCTACCGCCACGAAAGATAAGAGCTTCATGCTTACTCAGGCTCGCTGGGCCAGTAAAACGGGACACCTGGAAAAGAGACAGAGTCGGGGAAGAGGAAGGCACACCACAGCCAGCAGCTAGGACTCAGCCCTCTTTCCCGGATGTGGGAATGGGGTTGGAGGCTGGGCTCCTAGATTCCAGGGCCTCCTGAGCCCCATCACCGAATGCTGCTTTCCCTCTCCCCCACGTCTCCCCTTCTCCACCGTCCACCTGGTAAAGCCTGCAAAGGGGGGCTCCAGGGGTCCGGGCCTCCAGGTGACACGGCCTCCCCGGGCCTAGAGTTCCTCCAACAAGGCCCGACTCTGGCCCTCGCACAGCGCGTTCCACCGCCCTCCGCCATCTCCACCTCCGCCCGCCCCAGCAGCTCCTCCCCACTTAGGCCCGATGGGAACTTTTAAGTGCAAAGTCTGGGAGCCCTCATCCGACACCTAACCCCAGTGTCTACCGCGCCCAGGGATCTTGGGCCGGGTTGGGACCCCCAGAACCCTCACAACAACCCTCACACGGCCGAGCCACGTACCTCCGAGCCCCGCAGGAGCCACACAAGACCCAGCAGGTCCCGCCCTCTTCCGGCTTCTATTGGCTGCAAGAGCAGCCGCTCATTCTAACTTCGCCATCGCCAAGGCAACAAGTCCCACCTTCGCCAAGGCGTGGAGGCTTGCTCAAGGGAGAGGGAGATAATTCTCAAACCCGAGCAAACAAGAAAAGGAACGTCAGCCTTCTGAACTAGAAACGGGGAAGGGTCTTGCTTTTGTGGCCTGTAAAACCCCTACTACAGTGCTTGAGGGCGGGGAGGGG